GCTCTCTGTGTTGTCATTGATCGCTCTGTGTATTCTCTCCCAAACTTCCACGTATTCCTGTTCACGCTTTACAGCTATCATCGCCACTGTGAGCTCATTAATCATTTCGTCTACCTTGTTCTGTTGAGCTTCTGTTTCCATGTCCTGTCCTTTTGGAGCCTCCCCACTATCACTGTGAATGTCACTTTGTCTTGGGGGTCATAGTGGACATCCTATTGCTAAAACAAAACTTACTATGTTCCATCCATGTGAGCAGCAAATGTGTATTTCCCCACTGGACTCCCGGTCTCCTTTATAAATTCCTGTATTATCAGGCCCTGTACTCTCCACGTCGATGTCCAGGAAGCTGCCCTTGGCCACCTCCAAGATGAGGCCCATCTCGGTGCCCGAGGTGACCCGCTGGAAGAAGCACTCCTTGGCATGCCCGCCGATGCTGACGACGTAGCCTGAGGCCGTGGCCGGGAGGGCGGCCAGCAGTTCAGCGACCGTCCTCATGGTGGCGATGGGCCCGAAGCCAGGACCCAGGACCGGGCCTGCGGCCTCCAGAGTATTCCGATTGTGATAAGATTTACTCATCTGTGAAAAAAACTTACCAAGTTTTGCTTGTAATTTTTATGCGTGACATTCAGCAACCTTGTATTTCTTTTTTTATTAAGCTCCCCTACATCTGTCCTTTGCCATTCTTTTCTTAGATGATCTTGGTCTTATGATTTTGTAGTTTATAGTATATTTAGGAAATTAATTTTTCATGTGTACTAAGTGTTACAGATATTTTCCCCCTCGTTTGTCATTTATCTATTTATTTATTTATTTTTGGAGTACAGTATATGTTAATCTGTTATGAAGCCAGACTTATCTGAGTTTTTTCTGTGTGATTCCTATGTTTTCGGTCAGACTTTGAAAGGCCTTACTCACTTTCTGATTCCAAAAACATTCATGCTTTTTTCTAGCAATTTAGTATATTGTAGTATTTGAAATTTTGCTCCGTCTGTAATTTGTTTTAAAGAATGATGTAAATATCCCATTTTCCCACAACTATCAATAATTAACAAATTGCTGTAGTAATTTTGAATCATCCTTCTTTCCCCCCCTACTTGAAATGCCATTTTAATAATTTATTATAGTTGTACTAGATGTGTATCTGGGTGCATTTTTGGCTCTATGTTCTGTTTCACCGATATTTTGATTTCGGTGCCATTATCAACCTGTTTTAATTGTAGATTTATAATTTAATAACTGGTAGGACTGGTCTCATTCTTCTGCTGTTTCAGTTTTTTCCTAAGTATTCTTACATGTTTATTATTCAAATTGCCTTTTGAATAATTTAATGACACTCCTTACCATCCTCCAAAAGAGTTGGCAATTTTGATTGAAATCATATCGAATGTAGATTAATTTAAGGAAATTTGACATCTTTATAATTTTGAATCTTATTTATTTATGCAAGTGTACTTTCATATTTCAGCAGCATTTTCAAATTTTCTTCAGGTAGATCTTGCACGTTTCTTGGTGAGTTTATTCCTTGGTACTTCATCTGTAATGCTTTTGTGAATGAAATCTTTAAGAGTTTTCCAGTATATAATCACATCACCCAAATAAGGATAATTTTGCCTCTTAAATTTTTATACATCTTATGGAGTTCTCTTAATATCCTATATTAAGTTGAACATCCAAAACTATGTTAAATCATAGATTTTGCTTGATATTAATATCAAGGAGTTAGAAATTATACCAGATATGTATCTACTAGAAGTGTTTTTCCTGTTTTTTTTCCCTCAGAGCCTGATGTTGGCTTTTGATCATTATGTTAAGGAAGTGATCATCTCTTCCAGTTAACTAAGAGTTGTGGTTTTAAGTTTTTTAGGTCAGGAATGCATGTTGAATTATCAAATGAATCTCAGCATCTATTTTTGCCCTAATTTGTGAGAAATGTCTTCATCTTCCAACCTTCTACTGAGTTTTTCATTTCCTGTTTTCATGTTTATTTTCCCTGAGCTCTCTTTTTGTCTGACTGTCCCCTTTACAGAGTATCTTTTATCGCGTGGAGGCTATTAAGAATATGTGGTTTCCTTGTTGTCACTATGAAGGTGGCCCTCGGGCACACCCCAGGGGCTGGGTTCTCCATGCTGGCTCTCCCCACCCTACCTCGCCTGCCGCCCTCGCCCCTACCCAGCGTCGATTTCTGGACTCAACAGTAGATGGAGTCCTGCAGGACAAACCGCTCCCAACTCCCCCGGCCCCAAGACCTTCTTTCTTTCTGAAGAACTTCAGGGCCAGGTGCAGGAGGCGAGAGGCAGTGGGCAGGAAGCAGGCATCTCTCCCCCCTGCTCCTTTCCTGGGGCCCTGCCTCTTCCTGAAAATCCCATTTTCTGCCTTGGGTTTAAATCAGTGAAAACAAAAGCCAAAAAGCCTAAGAGGGAGACATTTTGTGGGTGATGTTTTTGCCTTCCACCCTGCTGCTAACTTCCCCCAAGACAAGGAAAATGAAGCTTGATTATTTGAGCGGTGAAAAAGGAAAAGAAAAACACGTAAGGAGAAAAACTAAAACATCGAGAAATATTCAACCACATGTGTATATAGCACATATATATACTGGGTCTCACCAGGATGGTCATTTTAAATAAAGAACGAGAGAGAGGGGAGAGAGAGAGAGAGGAGAGAGAGAGAGAGAGAGAGGAGAGAGAGAGAGGAGAGAGAGAGAGAGAGGAGAGAGAGAGAGAGAGATGGAGCAATGCACCACCCCATAATGCTGTTGGGCTGAACAGCTGGGCTGAGACCTGCTCTAAGTCAGGGATGCGAGTGCCTATGGCCATAATGACCACTCCAGAAGCACCCAATCTCATTTACTCTGAGAAGCCAAGGAGGGCTTGTCCCAGTCAGGAGTAGCAGTAATAACAGGTTACACTTACTGCCAAGGACTCTTTGAAACATTTCACTGACACACGTTTCTCACAACTCAAGAGGTATTAGCATCATCCCCATTTTATGCATAAGGAAACCGGGGCTCTGAGAGCTTAAGCAAATCACACATAACACAGGGCTACTGCACGGCAGAGTTGGATTTCATAGCCAGTTGGGCTTTGGACCCTGCATTCTTAGCTGCTACATTATACTGTTTGGATGGGAGACTGTCCTGGAAAACCAGATGCTAAGGGTCTTTCTTTTTACTTACTTCAAAGCAGGGGCAGCTCCAGAATTTATAGGTCGGGCGGGGTGTGGAGGGGAAGGCCTTAGGGACAGCAGTGTGGCTTGTAACTGCGGTGTGTGCAGGAGCTCGTGTGCGGCAGGGTACAGGATACACGCTTTGAAGCTCTGACAGCATATGAAGCGTGCTGTTCTTTGACTAAGACTTTCGGTCGACTTGGGTGACTTGGGAGGGTCTGAGGAGACTGAGAGGGGAAAAGTGCCCCCTGCCACCTCCCACAGCTGTCTCCCTCTGCTGCAAGGCCTCATTTGCTTTGGGCTGCACCCCGTTTTCCTACCTCTCCTGTCTGCTTGCTTGTGTGGTTCTGATGCCAGAGCTGGCCAGGAGACAAGTCTATAGCCACGTGCACCCCAAACTCCAAGGTCTTTGTCCCCAAACCTGAAATGCATTACAAACAGGTCTCAAAGTAGATAAAAGTCACCTTAGTCTTCAACACATATATTCATGGCATGAGAAGAGAACAAGTAACCAAACCGGGTGTACAGGGATTCTTTCTAAGGCATGCCTACGCAGCTAGGATTGGCCAGGACCCCGCCTCCCCACTGCTCTGGTCTCCCTGGAGGGCAGCAGCTCGGTGCCATTCGGCTGGCGTGCCATACAGCCCTCAGCCAGGAACAGCCCAAATGACTCCTCAGCTCTTATGCAGCCTCAACACACGCCAGTCTTCTCTGGCTCCCGAAACAAGCAGAGCCACACGGAGGGCCCCTCTGCCCGCCCCACACGGACTAGAGCAATGGCTCTCCAATCTGAATGAGCAGCAGAAACAGTTTGGCCTCTGGGGAACAAACGCACATTCCAGGAATTTGCATACAGATAGTCCTACAACCACATGTCGAGAAACTTTTCAGCATTTCCCATGGCACTTATATTCCTGTTCAAATGTTTTACAAGAGTCTCTAAGCCACTAAAGATGTTGAGCCCTGCTGCTATGGACTCAATGGTGGCCCCCAAATTCAGATATTGAAGCCCTAATCCCCAGTGTGACAGTATCTGGAGATGAGCCTTTGGGAAGAAATTAGGGCTAGATGGGGTAAATGGGGGTGCGGCCCTCATCTGACAGGGTTAGTGCCCTTCTAAGAATAGACAGCAGAGAAGACTGTTCTGTCTCCAGGTGCACAAAGAGGTAATGTGAACACACAGCAAGGCGGTGGCCTCCTACAAGCCCAGAACAGAGGCTTCATAATGAAACCTACCTTGCTGGCACCTTGGTCTTGGACTTCCAGCCTCCAGACGGTGAGAAAACAGATTTCTGCTGTTTAAGCCGCCCACTCTGTAGTATTTCACATGGCAGCCCAAGCAGACGAATACACCTGCCTTTCTTTTTAATTTCACTTCCCATGACTCTTGTTTCAGCCACATTTCAGGTCCTTTGGAACCAATCCCGAGACCTTTCCATCACTATTCTTTCTGCACACCCACCCCCGTACCTCCTGTCACCTCAACCCCACACTTCGAGGACTGGCTCCTCTCACCCTAATTCTCAGCTTAAATGTCACTTCCAGTAGTGGCTAGCTGTCAAGGTTTTTGCCGTTCACCCACCTTATTTCAAACTTTTCTTCCCTTGAATTGTTAAGCCTATTTATGATACTTCTCCTAACTTCTCTTTGTTCCATGTACTTTCTCTAATTCAGTTTTATTGATTAAGGCCCTTGGGTGACAAAATTTACTGTAAGCTAGCTACCATATTACAGATCTCTGTCAAATGTGCACTTGTTTGAGGCAACTTTAATTAAAGAAAGCCAGGAGAAGTCTCAGATATGCTCTTTCTAGTAGTTTTCTTTTGATAGCCAGAGCCTTTAGACTCGATGCTGCACTTTAATTCAGAAGTCAACGTAACAGTTTAATACATGTAGTAAGTTAAAAAGTATTAGTGAAATAGGAGCTGGGTTTTGTTTTTCCAAACATGTTTCTGAAAGCCTGTTTTATTTTAAAACACACACGGAGTTGGACACAAATGCCTTTTTAACCAACGTGGAGATTTCACGGATTGCTTAAATTGGTCACTCTTCCTCTCTACTGAGCCCGCCGTTCTTGACGCCTTATGAAGGACGAGAAGATGGGTCTCTTCCGAGCCTGCCGTTCTTGACGCCTTATGAAGGACGAGAAGATGGGTCTCTTCCTTTGCTTCCCTCTTTGTTGTAATACGAGTCCTTGGATGACAGTAATTATATGACCAATTTTTCCATAACCGTTTGGCAATCATTAAAGCTTTGCAGTTGCCGGTTTTCCTACTGGTGTCTTACCACCTAAGGGAGAAAGACAGAGACGGCTCATGAAATGATATTGAGTTTGCCCTTCCTTGTACAACTGTTTAGGCACTGGCAAAAGTGAAACACATGCCACTTGTGCAGAGTTTTACAGACTGACAAAGCACCAATGGAGACAGCAGCGCCCTTCGCTGGAGAAGCAGTGGTGTCTCAGAGGCGATGGGCATGGCCAGCCCCACAGCCATGTTTCCTGAACTTCACGTCTAGCGTGGTCTAGTACGTTCACACTCACGTATCTGCCTTCTGAGAGGAAGAACTCAATCCTGTCGTCCTCATGATGAGGGCTTCGGGGTTTGTTTTAGTTTATGCCCCTCTCACCAAATTCAAAATCGAGTTTCAGGGTCACGTATTCTGAAAGTTCAGACATACTATAAATAGAAGACTGGGGGGAAACTCCCTGGAGGTCCAGTGGTTAGGACTCTGCGCTTTCACTGCCGAGGGCCCAGGTTCATTCCCTGGTCAAGGAGCTAAGATCTTGCAAGTCGCGGCGCGGCCAAAAAAAAGAAAAAAGACTGGGATTTCAACCTACGTATTTTCTTCAACAAGAAATTAGCATTTTCACCTTCCCTCTCTCTGTCAACCATACCTTTGCCCTCTATACTTTTTTCTTCAATGACTCTCCTTTAACCATACGCCTGCCCTGGTTTTCCCCTAATCCCAGCAGACATCTATCTAAAGCTCTTCTATACAGGTTTGACAAGTGTACTGAGTTACGATTAGGTACAAAAATACTACTTGTAAGAATATCCACTCAGTGAGCTAGTGCTTTTTCAATATAATCAGCAATTAGTTTTTTCAAAAGCTAACACCCTCCCCTTCTAAAGTCACCCCATCATTCCTATGAGAAGTGTTCTCTACCTCCTCTGACCTTGCAAATCTGTTTATATCAAAAGTCTTGACTCTTACTGTATACCATAAACAAATGGCCTCGCCTTTTGGGACTGGACTATTTCTTTATAAGCTGATAGGATCTGCAGGAGAGTCTGGATTGGATTATTCTCCTAAGGATGTGCTATCAGCCCCCAATTTCAAGTTCAGAGTCTATATATGATGTGGACATTGATCCCGACCCTCACACGGGAAAGAAGAGATCTGAGGGTGGAGAGGGAGCAAGTGAATCCAAGGACCAAAACGAGAGGAATTTTCTTGATGCTCACTAGGACTAGATGGAAAGGTCTAGATCTTGGACCCTGATGAGTTATGTCAGGAGCTGATCATTTTTATGTTGTATAAGACCGCCTATTTTATGCCTGCTGTGTCTTCTCTGTTACTTTTCTCCTTAGTGTCCTTGAGAAAATTCTAGATGACAGAAATAGTTCTCTGCGTATACTAAAACTCTACTGCTGTTCACTTTGATAAAGCATTTAGTGCCATGCTTTCTTGTTTTACTATATGTCGATAAATGCAATGTGCAAACCCATCACATTTTTATTAAGCAGCACTTACCAAGCATTTCTTCTAACTTTGTTGCGGCAGGTTCATTCACAGTAAATATATAATCATTATTTCTAGGAGGAAAAGTAACAAGCTTTCTTATTGCATAAACCAGGAGGAAAAGACAACATTCGTTATTTATATAGTAAGACTACTTTTAAACAGTCTTCCTCAGGGCTAGTTTTAAATAGTTGAAAGTTGTGTGTATACATATGTAAGAATACACACACACACACACACACACACACACAACATGCCCCGCCCCCCCAATTTTTCTTATAATTAACCTATAAATTTCCATATTAGGTCGAAGCTAAAATGCTGGCCTAAAGCACTTTCTTTCTTTGCTTCGATATGGTTTTTATTCACACCCACAATAAAATTCGCATGGTAACTCAGAGTGACTTAGCTAATCAGGACATGGATAAGTGAAGCATGATGTAATGTTTCCTAGATCCTGCATTTCCACGTCTCTCTCCCGACTTGGTGCTCAACTGTTCTGAGCTGTCGCTGCCCCCTGAGCTCACCCTGGGCATCGTGCACAGTTACTTACACCTTCTTCTTCTCCACCACACCGAGCTTCACAAAAGCTGCTAAGGCATTTTTTTGTACATCGGAGGATAATACATCGTAACACTGTGAGGCACCTAAAAGAGAGGGAAAGGGAGAGTTAGTGGCTTACTTTCTGTGCTCAACTAACAGAAGTTACCACCCACAGAGGTGTGACTCACCTTGATGGAGAAGCTGACCTGTGAATTTTCTAACGTTCACCAAGTACTGTTTCTCAGTGAAGTAGCCTTCTTCTTCGTTCAAGAGGTATTTGCAAATTATCTGATTTTTAAGAGGGAGGATGAGAGGAACAGAAAGTGAAACAGAGCAGCCAAATACCGGAGAAGAGTAAATAACTTTACACCTGCCGCTCTTAACAGAACGATACTTTATATTAGAGCAGAATTAAGACCTCCCCCTGATCCCCACCAAAAAAAGTTCTACCTTTCACCTGGGGAAGACACTTGCTCTTCAGACCAGAAACAAGTACAGGGTAGGAAAGTCTTAGTTATATTTGCTATGGGAGGATGAAAGAGAACTTGCGAAAGATTTACACACCTGGTAAGATTCCACAAAAGGTTTAAAGAGTCCTATTAAAAACTCTAGCACTGTATTTCCTTTTTCTGTAACTAGGATGTCCCTTGTTGTCACCTGTGTGGCCTCACTTTTACAAAGCAGGTAACAGCCTTCTTCAAAGTCCTGCAAGGGGAGGGGAGAAGACAGAACGCACCCTCTAATTTATAGCTTAGGTCAACGATGCACTGCTGGGCTCAGCATGTGCAGCCCTGTGCCCTCGGAACAAGGGAAACACCAGCTAATTCTGCAGGCCTTCCCGGACTGCTGTGGCCGCCAGACAGGAGCCAGAGCAGCGGTGTTCCAACACTCACAACGCTGAACCTCGAGTACAGCAGACACCAAAAGCTGATGAGCCTCAGAAGTCATCACCTGGGCCACAGATTTTCCTTCGCTTCGCACTGACGAGCCATGCTCCTTGCTCTTGAATAGAAGTGCATGTAGCAAGTCCAAAAAGTCCTGAGAATCATGTTATGCTGAGAACGGCTGCCCTCATTTCCTACTGAATAAAACCTGTGGCCCTCGGCCTAACGGACAGACACTTAACCCACTTGTCAGTGCTGGCACTGCCCCCAGCCCAGCAAGCCAGAAGTCCAGCTCTGGGAGCCCGATCCTTCCCTTGCTGTCTACACCACCAGGCAGGACCACTGTTCTCTAATCGCAAAGCAAAAGGCCCTACTCATTCTAACAAGTGGTGCTGGAAAATGTGTGCTGGTTGCTAAATTTTCTAACAAAATAGAGTTGGTTTATTTACAGTGGCTGCGCTAATGGTTCAAAGATTTGGTTCCTCTCACCAAATAATCCCTAAATTATTGATTAAACCTGACCAAGAGTTAAAACAGAGTTTGTTGAACTGTGAGTGTCCATGTTTCTCTTTTGTTCTGCTGCACGTAGCCTTGAAGGCAGGGAAGACACCCCCGTGAATCCAAGCCTAACGTTTCCAGAACTCATACCGCAAACACACCTGCTCTTTGGCAGGAAGGATTTACCTTTAGCGCATTTCCTGGAAGAAAGATGAACTCATCTGAAAAAACACTGCATAGGAAGCGAAAGCAACTGTAGACATCCTCTGGAAATAAATTCATTACATAAAATTACAACTCTGCTTTTTAAACATTCAGGGAGTACCAAGAAGTCCATGATACTCCAAAATGCAGTATTTTAAAGGCATATTATTCATATACCAGGGACAAGAATTAAGGCCCCCAAAGGAAGCTATAACCAATCCAAATTTTACCTACAGAGAAACTACAGGCTAGCATAGTTTCAATGGTTGAGACTGAATTACAACCAGGCCTCTAACCAGTCAGTCTGGTAACGAGCGAGAGGCCACATTCTGCAGAAGCCAGGGCACTTCATTTCCCCTGTACGTGGTTCCCTAGCAGAGAAGGAAAGGAATGGCTTCCTTCATTCCCTTCCACGCTCATATCTGCTGATGTCTCTACTGTACCTTTAGCGCTAGGACACACTGGCACACAATCATAGAGACTACTGTCTTATCCCTCGGGCATGGAGGTCTGCCTATAGACCATCTTTCTGACGTGAATTTTCTCATTAGAAAAATATACATCCATATGGACACAAACGGTTGCCTCCAATTTCAGGGTGTTCACACTGAAACACTCTAGAAGACCACGCATGTGCCCCACAGTTGTGGACAAATCCCAACGTAAGAAGCCTCAGACAGAACTAAGATCAAGCTTTGAGTTTTCTGTGTCCTGAACTAAGCTGTCTGACCTCTCTGGGACCCAGTTTCCTCATTCACAAAATGAGGGCATGAACGCCAGACCTCTGAGGTTCCTTCCAAGGCTAAAGGTCTGTGGCTGAGCTCAGTGTTTCTCTACTCTGGCTTTTCCTTATAATTATCTACAGAGCTTTGAAAAGCCAAAAACAAAAACATCGATTTCTGGCCCACACCCCAGCCAGTTGCATCAGAAACCTTTGGGGATGGGACTCAGCCTCCAAAAATTCTAAGGTGCAGCCCGGGTAGAAAACCCCGGTCTTGACTACAGGTTTCTGTGAAAAAAACAGTTTTACTCATTATTATACTCCTCGGTGCGACCAGAATGCTACCGTGTGCTGAGCACTCACACACCGCTGGACCGTTTACCCGCCCTGTCTGCTTCTGTCAGAGGGAAGTGACGTCAGAAAAAGAGCATCAGACCAGCAAATGGGGAGCTGTGCTCTAGTCCCAGATCCTTAAAGGATCAGGAATCTCTGGCCTCATTTTCCTTATTTATAAAAGGAGAGGTTGAGATGAGATGATTTCTTAGGTCCCTTGCAATTCCCAAATTCTATGGCCAGGTATGTAGGGGAAAAAAAACCTAATGAGCTCTGAGAAGAGGTCCATCCCTTGCTGGTGTGTGGGCGGCAGAGCATTATAACAGAAGGCTTCAAACGTTGCTCTCTATATGGAACTCAACGGCCAGGTCTCTTCCAAGACTCAAGGCCACCTTCCCGAAAGTTACCTTTCCTGAACCCAGGCGTCATCTGCAATGCCACAGCTACTAAGGAAGGACGGACAAAAATGTTGAGCAGCTGGTTCCTGTAAGCCGAGCACACGAGGAGAGTGATGTGCTGGAAAACAAGCCCATCGACCACTTCTGGGCCTCCAGAGTCCACTTTCAGAGTCACCCGGTCTTTGACGAGGCTGACGATGTTGGAATGCAGAAGAAGGCTGGACTGGACCACTTCTTCAGCAAGTTCATTATCTACACACATACACAGACAATTCATTCAGGCAAATGGCAAAGAAATGGGATGGTTACTGCTGGGAGTCTTAGGCTCAGTATGAATCAACGCTAGTGACCCGGCACGTTTATTTTCAAGTGCCAGGTACGAGTTTTAGGCTCCACCAATTCGGCTAATGATACCATATGTGAAGGATATTTTAAAAGCACTCTTTCATAAATCAACTCTCTCTGAGGACATGTAACATGCTTTCTTATCTACCCCCAACCTGTCAGCCATTCTGAAATGCACATCAATTCCCACTCTGAAAATCAACACTTCCTCAGGAACCAAGGTTTTGTAATTGCAAGTTACAGGACAAGAAATTCACATATATGGGAATTTAAGAATACTAAGACAAGAAGACATGCTTCATACACACATACACACACCTCGCTTAGACCAATTCTGAGACGGCAAGGATATCACTTTACAACTTTGCAGGTAAACCCGAGGGCAGCCGAGAGAGGCACTCTCCTAGCTTCAGGTCTCTCTGAGCACAGAGGGACGCTGAGGAGATTTTTCTGGTTTTCCTACATCCAAGATAACTGAAGAGGCAGGCTCGTAACAGTTCCCGGTAAGTCATCACCTGACACTACACTGGCCTAGAGATAGCCAAGGAGTTAGAATGACAAGTCTAATAAAGAGACGGTGATATTTAACAACATTCTCGATAAGGGAAATACTTTTATTGTTCGCCCGAGCCAAAGAGCTGGCTGACAGGTGTGTCAGGCAGGGGCGCTGCTCGAGTGTCACGGAAGGGGCAAGGGGGAGGTGCGGTTCTCCTCGCGGACTCATCACATCCGCTCTGGGCTAATCTGCCTTGTCTCAGCTTGCTCGAGGTAAGGGTGCAGCACATGACATCATACATATAACACAAGATGATTTGTCTTACACGTACAATATAATGATATGTATATCATAAAAAGGCCTAGACAGAATGCTAAAGAATATATGGGATAATCTGGGTAAAAAAGCAAAAAGGAACCGAATATACATACCATGTGCTAGATTAGGAATAGTGTTTGATAACTACATGACTTCTGGTACTTGGATACCAAGCGGCTCTCACTTTGTAACGACTGGAGTTGTCGTGGCAGCTGCACAGGTACTTTTCGCTGTGAACTGGCCACATATTTATCCCCTCTTGAAAAAGCAACACCTTAGAAAGACAGGTGCCTCTGCTTTCACACGGTTCTGGGCCAAACATTCGTCTTTCACGACTTTCTGCCTTGTATTGCAGTCCACATGTCCTTTGCTTCCCATCAGACCGTTAACAATACTGGGATTCGGATTCATCTTTACTTCCCTCCCGGTGACCAACACTCAACTGGCCGGCACTCCTGTTGGCAATTCCTCCCGGCCTCTCTCAGCCACACCGCCCTCTGCCGCTGCCTGCCTCGGCTTCCTGAGTTCTTATCTACGCACGGCAACCTGCTCGATTGTCTCCCTGCCTCCAGTTTCTCCCCACTGTGGTCCATCTTTAAAACTGACATCAGGGGGCTTCCCTGGGGGTCCAGTGGGTAAAACTCCATGCTCCCAATGCAGGGGCCCTGGGTCCGATTCCCGGTCGGGGAACCAGATCCCGCATGCCACAGGGCAACTAAGCCCGTGCGCCACAACTACCGAGCACGGGAGCCGCAACTAAGACCCTGCATGCCGCAACTAAGACTCAGTGCAGCCAAAATAAAAGAACAAAAACATACCACCCTATAAAAAAAAAAAAAACAAACGTGACACCGGGCTGCTTGCTAAAGGCCAATCCCTCACACTTCCCTGCCTAAAACGCACGTCTGCGTCCTGTGACCTACAGACTCCAGTCTAGATCCCCAGGGAGCGGGCCTCTATGATCCAGCCCCTGTCCACATCTCCACCTACATCACTCCCTTCCCAGAGCCAATGTTCTAATGTTACCAACCGCCAGCAGCTCAAGGGATGCCCGGGGCTGTCACACCCACCATCGCATGTTTCCTGATCCTTACATTAACAACGCTCCTCTCCATCTGTCTTCCTGAAGAGCTCCTACCGTCCCACCAAGATGGGCTCAAGTAACTTCTATGAAATCTTCCCTGCGTGTGGGCCCTTTCCTACACAGAAGTCTCAGTAAGCCCCAGCAATCTGTCCGTAGCTCTTTGTCTTTAAGTCACTGAGCCCTCTCTACTAGTTTACACATTACTACCCACCCTGTCTTCTAAACACCAGCAGAACCTCCAGAACAAGGGTTGCATCTAGTTCATCTTTGTACCCCTGGGAGTTCCCAGCACCCACTAGGTACTCAGTATGGGTTTAATGAGTGGACAGTAAATACCTGACTATAAATAATTATCCGGTCTTAAAAAGACTGCATTTCCAATTGTAGTCTCTACAATTTTAAATCAGAGATTGAAAACAACTTAAGCTAACTATTGTCATATACATCCCAAACTCCCGGCATAGTCTTCATAACTCCAATGAGGTTTCTACAAAGTTGTTATTATCAGAGAATTGTATACAGTTCTCCAAGACCAGCCCTTTAATCCTTATAATCCAGTGAGGCAAATGGGTTGCAAATATAATGTGGTAGAAAGAGGTGGGTGTAGGGGCTTCCCTGGTGGCACAGTGGTTGAGAATCCACCTGCCAATGCAGGGGACACAGGTTTGAGCCTTGGTCCGGGAAGATCCCACATGCCGTGGAGTGACTAAGCCCGTGCGCCACAACTACCGAGCCTGCACTCTAAAGCCCGCGAGTTTAGAGCCCGTGCTCCGCAACAAGAGAAGCCACCAGAATGAGAAGCCCACACACAACGAAGGGTAGCCTCCGCTCGCCGCAACTAGAGAAAGCCCGCGTGCAGCAACGAAGACCCAACGCAGCCAAAAATAAAATAAATAAATAAAAAATTTTAAAAGAAAAAAAAGAAAGAGGTGGGTGTAGAGGGAAGAATATGTGGAGCACAGAGAGTCATTATTTATTCTCCACTCTGCTAGGAAGCAAGGGAGGGTGTTCTGGTCCTCTGTCTACTCAGAGCCTCCTAGGGAGAAATGACGTGTAAACAATTATTCTCAAATAATTGATATGCTACGTTCAATGTCCTAGAGTGATAAAAACAGATTAGGCTTGCTTTCCCTGAGCAATGCTTTGCTTAAAGTCCTATATGGGTTTTTTTTCACGTCTAGGCTACAACTTTTCCAAATTAAGAAATAAAAAAAGCAAGCATTATCACCACATATGTCCCACATACATACCAGGCCAAGTGAGAAACCCCCCGAAGGCCTGGGCTAAGCCTTTCAGCCATAAGGTCTTTTCCAATAGGGCATCAAAGTCCATGGATGGCCGGTTCTGAAGCAGAACAGTAACTATTAGTGGCCACGGGCTCAGAACCAGGTTTTGAATTTGCAGGAGTTGCATTTTGTAGGCAACTTCAGTGACAAAGGCATGCATGTCCTCCGACTGTTTCTGAGGAATATATCTAAAAGGAAGAATACAGAACAACCAATTACAGTTCTGCTACTTAGACAATGTGAGTGGAGAAGGGAATGGGAGAAGACAGACCCTTTAGAAGGTTTCTCATACTTTCTGCCAACTGAACTCTCTCAGGTCACGCTGCAAAAATATACTTTCACTTTACTAGAGTGGGATCTGTCCATTCGTCTCCGGGCTATGCTCTGAGGTGATTAAAAATACTCAAGGCAAGAGGGTTGGTTCTATTATCCCTGGTTCCAGGCCAAAGCAAACAGACAAAAAACACTTGCTGCTGCTTTGTCAGTGGGCTATATCACTTCTTCTGTGAAAACCGATGCCTCTTCCCGCGGACTGAACTGCTCTGTCTCCTGAGAATCCACAGGACTTTGAACATGTCTCTTGTAGAACGCACCTAACAGGTGATGATATGATATGTATGGCAACTGCTCATGCCTGTACCGACAGGCTGTACCGTTGGCCTGACTGCTACACCGCCCTTCTGAGAAGCTTCAGGGCACCTGCTAGGCACTGTCTCGGTCCTTGCCTGACAGAGTCCTCATGCGTGGATCACCCAGCGTTGAGTCAGATGATATCCAGAACCTACCCAGAGCTGGCTGGAGCAAGGATACATGCATAGGACCTAACAGCAGGCACATAAGGTGGCTTAGCGTGAAAGCTGTAGCCAATGAGGACTCCCTGGTAATGGATACAACTGGCCAATTTGAGATGGACCAAGTGAAAGCTTGTGGCTGCAGAAAGCTAACATCTGCCTCTGACAGCTGATGAAGCTGCGAGCGAGGCTGCCAGCTGCCGTGGGACCACTGGCGCTACAGATAAATTATGAATGATGCTGCAGTCACGGAAGCCTGGCTGGGCAGGCGATTCGTCTCCTTTACTCCTGCGGGTGTATTTCTCTACATTAAGAAAACCCAAATGTGTATCTGTACCTGCATGCTGAAAGAGGCTAACACATTTCCTTGCCCACAAAACTATAACCTTCTTGAGAACAGGGACTCACTCCCATTCACTATTATTAAACAATCCTTTCTAGGATCAAAAACAATACTTAGTAGATACTTTGGCTGGCCTACCAATAGTGCTCAACAATTCCCATACATGCACTTGTTAACAACGGCTTATTTCTTCACACTTTTAAGTCAGTAGGGTACTAGGGAGGGAGCCTGGGGAGAAGGAATCAAAAGAAGCATCTGTTACTTTGAGAGCAGGCAATGGGTTCTGTGTTTTGTTTTGTTTGTTTGAGCACTGTCTGGCTTTGCATGTTTAATGTATACAGCCTGCAGTTAAGTGTCCGGCGAACATATTAATTGAAGCTTTCTGCTTCTCCGGGGTGTGATCTCAGATAACCAAGTTTCAGTGCTAGAAGTGGCCAACTCAAGAATCACAGTTTACACTTTCAGATATTCATCCTTGTTTCTATGTCAGTTATGAAAACACAGGCCTTGCACCTTGGAACCAAGTTATATGGGCTCCGACCCATCCTCCCAGCTGCCAGAGATCGAAGTGACACAGGGTCTCCGAAGTACACATGAATGTTTCCAAACTTTTCAGAGAGAATCCTCCTGGCTTTCAACAATCCCTGAGAGTATCACAACAGGGGAAAAGAAAACAGGAATACATTCAGAAATCAGTTGGTGTATAAAGTACATCATAAATAAATATAAATTTAAAGAAATTTAATTTCTTTAAATTCCAGTACGATCAAGCTTGGCTAGCCTTTACGTACAGTTGTAGATTCTTTCGGCTTAGGAACCCCTAGGAGCTCATAAGCATACAGAGTTTCTTCCAATATCCTATCGTAACTGATGCTGATCGGAACAAGGTAGGTATCAAAAACTTCTCTTTTAAAAAACGGTTCCATCACAATATTCAGAAGACCTGTAAACGTGCGGAGAAATGACTGTTCAAACATTGAAAGGGAAAGCAAACAAGGCTGCAGGAAGATACCAGAAGTATACATTATACACCAAGCCCATAAATATAAACAGTTGACCTTAAAGAAACAGTTACACTTATGAAGTAAAGAACATCTTGCAAAAAACGTGTCAAGTTCTATTTAGCAGCTACGATGACACCACGCCTGAAGCCTCTGGGTTTGTGTTTTTCCTTCAGTCTGTAAGGAACCTACCAAATTTTGGAGTCAGTGTCTTGGCGGAGCGGCTTCTTGTCCCTTCGAGGAAAAATTCAACAGGAGCATAACCATTCTGTAAAGAGAAAACACAAACCAACAAAACAAACACAAAACCCATTGCCTACTCTCAAAGTGATAAATGCTTCTTTTGATTCCTTTTCCTGAGTTCCCTCCCCAGCCCTCCGAGCAAACACCGCTCACAGTGAAACTTAGACAAGAGAGTCACACAGAGGAAACAGATTGCGGAGGTTATGCACATTCCTCGAGGGGGAGAAACCAGCTAAGCAGTCCATTCAGAAGTTACGAATTTAGGGCTCCCCTGGTGGGGCCGTGGATAAGAATCCGCCTGCCAATGCAGGGGACACAGGTTCGAGCCCTGGTCCGGGAAGATCCCACATGCCACGCAGCAACTAAGCCCGTGTGCTGTAACTACTGAGCCTGCGCTCTACAGCCCGTGAGCCACAACTACTGAAGCCCGCACGCCTACAGCCCGTGCTCTGCGATGAGAGAAGCCACTGCAACGAGAAGCCCGTGCACCGCAACGAAGAGCAGCCCCCGCCCGCCGCAACTAAAAAGAAGGCCCAGGCGCAGCAACGAAAACCCAACGCAGCCCAAAATAACTAACTAAATAAATTTATATTAAAAAAGTCTCTATTGCAACAAAAGAAAAAACAAAAAAGAAGAAAAAGTCACGAATTTAAGTAAGATCTTAGAGCAAACTTCAGTGAAAAGAAAACACAGCTTGCAAGTAGTCGGTAATTATTTGCATTACCCGTAACATAGTTTTCACATATTCAGAGAACACCGCCCAGTAGAGCTGATCGCCACCGAAGGTCCGCCGCATGAAGAACGCCCCCGACATTCGCAGCAGCTCACCAACCATCTTCATTCCTAGGAAGTCTATGAAAGAAACAACGGTTAATGTTGATTTGCAGACCTTGAAGCTTTCTATGAATATCTCAACTCAGATTCTATTAAGATAGATTTCATGTATGTAAGACACCCCTAATCTTAAGAAGCATCATCTAATGGAATTAAGGAAAGAAGGGACTCTGTCGGCAGGTGCTGGCTGGGAGGCTACCTTGTGCACCCCACTCCCCATGCACCTCTGCATTTACAACCAGACCAGCTAGAGGTGGGGCAGCAGCAGGCAATGGGACAGCCTCAACTATGCCACCATGCCAACTTCCTTAGTCAGCAGTGCCGCTGACCTCAGTGACAGATCAACATATATCCTCCCTGCTCTGCACAGTCAGGCCAAACTAGCTCTCACCTTTCCTTTTTAACCATCAGGTGAAAATACCACTCTTCTTTTAGTGGCACAGATTAGAAAAGAAAAGCAAGTCCAGAATGAGAGAAAGAGTTCTACCATCTGTTTTAAAACAGTTCTTTCCATTTTTCCCTAATTTTCAAATAACTTCCTCACGCGTCTATATAGATGGAAATGCTTTCAAAGTGCTTAAGGTCCCGGCAGTTTCTACTTTACTGTTTACTGTATCCATTAGCAAAGGTGCAGGCTTGAACCCCAGCTTTCCTGGCTAGCTTATAAAGGAGATGATGAACAATTTATTTGCCTTAGCAATCCTACTTTTTTGGAATCAATCCTACAGAAATAAAAGCACTAATATGAAAATATATTGAAAGCTTGTTTGTAACAGCAAAACTACCACATTATGATATACACTCCTGAATATTATATAGCAGTAAAAATGTTAGACATGAAGTTGGAACCTTACCAAAAAAAATCACACCACATACAAAGATTAACTCAAAATGGATCAAGGACCTAAATATAAGACCCAAGACAATAAAACTCTTAGAAGAAAATATAGGGGAAAAACTTCATGACACTGGATTTGGCAATAATTTCTTGGATATGACACCAAAAGCACAGAAGATAAAAGAAACAACAGATAAACTGGACTACAGCTGTCCCTGGGGTTGGGGGGAGTCTGTGGAGCATTAGTTCCAGGACTCTCCATGGATACCAAAACACCTGGATGTTCGAGTCCTTTATATAAAAGGGCAGAGTATTTGTATATCACCTAGCACATCCTCATACACTTTAAATCATCTCCAGATTACTTATAATACAAGTGCTATGTAAACAGTTGTAAATACAATGTAACTGCTATGTAAATAGTTTCCTGTGAATGGCAAATTCAAGTATTGCTTTTTGGAACTTTCTGGAGTTTTTTTTCCTGAATGTTTTTGATCAATGGTTGCTTGAATCCATGGATGCGGAACCCGTGGATACAGAGGGCCTACTGTATACCAAAATTAAAAACTTCTGCTCATCAAATGATACAATCAACAGAGTGAAGTGGGAGACAATATTTACAAATCACATATCTGATAAGGGGTTAATATCCAGAACATATAAAGAACTCCTTCAATTCAACGACAAAGAAAACAAACAACCAAAAGGACTTGAATACTCCTCTGAAGGAGATATAGAATTGGCCAACAAGCACATGAAAAGATGCTCAACACCACTAATCACCAGGGAAATGCAAATCAAGCGCACAATGAGCTGCCACTTCACACCCATTAGGGTGGCTATTATTAAAAACAGAAAAACAAAAAACCTAAAAAAACAGAAAATAACAAGTGTTGGAGAGGATGTGGAGAAACTGAACCCTTGTGCCCTGCTGGTGGGAGTGTAACATGGTGCAGTGACTGCGTGTGGAAAACAGTATGGCAGTTCCTCAAAAAATTAAAAATAAAATTACCATCTAACCCAGCAATTCTACTTCTGGGTGTATACCTGGAAGAACTGAAAGCAGAGACTCAAACAGGTATTTGTTCACCTATGCTCACTGCAGCACTAATCACAAAAGCCAAAAAGTGGAAGCAACCCAAGTGTCCAGGGATGGATCAATGCATCAACAAACTACGGTATATACATACAGTGGACTATTATTCAGCCTTAAAAAAGGGAAAATTCCGACAGACACTACAATATGGATGAACCCTGAGGACGTTACGCTGAGTGAAATAAGCCAGCAACAGAAGGACAAATCCTGTTTGACTCCATCTACAGGAGGTATCTGGAGCCGTCAGATTCACAGAAATAGAAAGGAGAGTGCTGGGTGCCAGGGGCTGGAGGGAGAACAGAATGAGGAGTTAAGTGTTTAATGGGGACAGAATTTCAGTTTTGCAAGGTGAAAAGACTTCTGTGGATGGATGACAGTACAACAATGTGAACTTAATTCTACTGAATGTGCACTTAAAACTGCTGAAGATGGTAAATTTTATGTTTTGTGCATTTTACCACAATTGAAAAACATGTTAAAAGAATTTAGATCTATTTATTGACCTACAGAGATAGCCACTGATATATTACCAAATAAAAATAACAACAGCAGGTAATACATCGAGGTCGTATAATCTCATTTTTCAACCTGAACCAAAAACCCTATGTGCATATATGCTTGCTGATGTCTGGGTAGGCACAGTAAAGCACCGTGCAGAGGACAGAATCCAACCTATTAAACACTGGGACTTGTAGAAAGAAGGGAGAGGGACTTCCCTGGTGGCACAGTGGTCGGGAATCCACCTGCCAATGCAGGGGCACGGGTTGGAGCCCTTGTCTGGGAAGATCCCACGTGCTGCGGAGCAGCTAAGCCCGTGCGCCACAACTACTGAGCCTGCGTGCCACAACTACTGAAGCTCGCGTGCCTAGAGCCTGTGCCCTGCAACAAGAGAAGCCACCGCCATGAGAAGCCTGCGCACCGCAACAAAGAGCAGCCCCCACTCACCCCAACTAGAGAAAGCCCGCGCGCAGCAACCAAGACCCAGCACAGCCAAAAATAAATAAATAAATAAATAAATAAATAAAAGAAAGAAAGAAAGAAAGAAAGAAGGGAGAAGCTATTCTCATCATTTTCTTCAAATAACCTCGGCACTGTTAAAATCATTCCCGTGAATGCCTTAATTTTTACAATTAAAAAAAGGGAGAAAACCAATGCATACCCATTCCTGCTGCTATGACCGGCACAGGTAAGTCGTAGTTGTATAAAAGAAAAGACAGCATCAGAAAGTCAATGTAACTTCGATGACTGGGCAACAGAACAACAGGATGCTCCTGGATGGCTCGCTGTAGCTTTAAAACAAATGTTACACTTTGAATAATTTCAGCTTTCATATTATTAAAATCGTATCTTAAATCAGAAAACGGAAGAATGTGCGTATGCACAGAGGGAATACGAGTAATGCTTTTCTGTCTCCCGACCACGTGCACAAAACTTATTTCAGAGTTCTAGTTAAATAATCTCCCATAACGCAAGGACAGCAAAAATAAATTTTACGGATCATAATAATAATGGTGATGATCACTAACAGGTATTAGTTGAGAAGCAATATTAAGCATTTTACATGCATTGTTTAATACCACGTATTTGTACATAAGGCCTAAGCCTTAACTTCCTCGTTTGTGACATAGTCATGCCTCTAATACACGGTGGAGCTAGAACTGGATCTGTCAGTCTGAATTAAAAAGTCAACTGTCAGCCACTGCGCTAGACTGACTGGTAGTTTGTAGGAAGAGAAAACAAAACTTCTCTCAGGGAGATTTAAAAAAATTACAAATTGTTAGGACCAAGGAAAGGAATGGTATTTCTCTATTTATGCACTAGGTTCACTGTCAGGGAGAGTGGGCGCCTTGTAGCAGGGAGGGATGCATCCGAGCTTCCCGATCCATTCCTCGGGCTGTCAGTCTCAAAAATACCCACTGTGTCAACGTGTGTCTGTTTTCCTGAAATCTAAATACATAACCTACCGACAAACAAGACATAGCCAGCAACATCCCCCGTTCCCAACACTGTATCAAACGTTCTCCGACAGAGATGCAGACGCAAGTCAGCAATCTAGAAATCAGTCACAGCAGGAAGAAATACTTGGAAGCAAAGTAAATGACTGAATAAAAACAAAGCATTAAAAGGTATGAGGAGGAAGGCCGGTGAAGGTAAGAGCTTCCTAGTAAGAGAAAAAAGGTATTAAAAACAAATGAATAAAAATAATCTTCAGAGGGAAAGCTCTTACTTTCAGAAAAAAGTAAACAATTAAATGACAGGAGTGACAGAATTAGAAAAATCATTTGGCAATCATAAGAGTAATAACTGATTCAAGCAAAAAACATCAGTGGCTGTAAAAACGCATGGAGGAAAGTATGATGAAAAACAGGGTACTGAAGCATCCTTCAAGTCTCTTGTCCCAAGATACTTATTAATTACAGGGGCACAAAGAGTAACTCTACAGGGGCGAAGAGCCTGGCGAAGAGCACGGTAGCCAAGTGACGAACGTGACCATCACCAGGAACAGGCAAACGGAGGCCACATGCTTCTGGGCTGATACACTGACAAGGACACAACCTGAGCCTAATCGAGAAAACATCTCAAACCCAAATCAAGGGACACTAGAATATAACTGGCCTGATTTCTTCAAAAGTAATATCATGAAACACAAACAAGGCCTAAGTAATTGTTCTAGATTAAAAGAGTCTAAAGAGATATGGGAGCTGACTGTAACACACGATGCAGGACTTTCTTTTGCCTATACAGGACACAGCTGGGACAGCTGGTGAAACATGAATAAGATCTGTATTACCAGCACTGTGTCAATGTTAATTTGCTTATTTTGATAATTACACCGTAAGAGAATGTCCTTGTTTATAGGGAAAACACACCAGAAAGGTGTGTGAGGAAAGGAAAGAGAACATGTTGTAGGGGAATCTTGGTGAAGAATATATAGAACTTCTTTGTACGACTTCTGTAACTCTATGAACATCTGACATTAGGTTAGTCTGTAAAGTCTGTAACTAAGTGACTAAGTTAGTTTGTCTGAAGCCTGCAGATCTGAAGGTAAAAGGAAAAAACACCCTGCAGAGAGGCGGAGTCTTTTCTGCTCAGGCTGGATGCCACCTGCTAACCAGGGCCTGCTCATCTAGTGCAAAGCGGGATGCCTTTGAGTTGAATAAATTGTGAGGGATTGAAGAAGAGATTGCTTTTCTACAAGCAATACTCACTTTCTGAATACCTTCTTCATTTACACACACTTTCGAGAAAATTTGTTTAAATATTTTGCTCAGGGCAAAGGCACAGAACCGAATGGCTCCCAGACGCAGTTTGTGGTTCATTTCATCCAGGATGCCACAGGCTTCCTCTCGCAGGACCTCGGCAGATTGAAGGGATTCCCTGGAAAGCTACAAGAAAAGGGAAAGCAGGGATAAATTCCTGGAAAAAAAAAAAAGTCAAAATTCTTTTTGCTCAAATCAGTAGGACCAGTTCCAAATGGACCAATGTTATTATATAACTCAAAATGGTATGTTCTCTTCTTAATTTAAATTGATATAGTTTAAGCTTACATCCAAATTCTCTAAAATAAGTTGTTGCTCAAGATCTAGTGTCTGAGAGCATACACTTAGTAGTTACTTTCAGTACATTGTTGCAGCTGTTTTTTTTAAAATTTATTTATTTGACTGATTGATTTTTGGCACGTTGGGTCTTCGTTGCTGCACGCGGGCTTTCTCTAGTTGTGGCGAGCGGGGGCTGCTCTTTCTTGCGGTGCACGGGCTTCTCATTGCGGTGGCTTCTCTTGTTGCGGAGCATGGGCTCTAGGCACGCAGGCTCAGTAGTTGTGGCTTGCGGGGTCCACGGTGCAGGCTCAGTAGTTGTGGCGCACAGGCTTAGTTGCTCTGCGGCATGTGGGATCTTCTCTGAGCAGGGATCAAACCTGTGTCCCCTGCATTGGCAGGCAGATTCTTCACCACTGCACCACCAGGGAAGTCGCACAGCCTACACATCTGAGGAATCAGGATCAGAAGGGAAAGAGAGAACTGGAGCATTAAAAAGAAAGAATACATTGCCAGGAGAGGACCTTCCTCGAGACAGAAAATGCTCATGCCAGTTGGAGCCGGTTGAGAAGGCTGGGGAGTGGGAAAGCCAAGACCCCTGGGGACAGGAAGGACTTGGACAGGTGAAGAACACAGGTGAAAAGGCTGGTTTGTTCAGAAGGCACTGGAGGAAAGCAGAGAAGAAGACAATGGCCTGGCCTCTTATTCTGTGCACCTGGGCTTCTCATTTGCCCGACTGATTGCTGTCCCTACAGACCCCTCTCCCTGGAAACCTGAGAGAAGCAGCGGTCTTACAACTCCTTGTCCCCAGTGATGTCCCTCTTCAGTCTCTTCTCCATGTCACAAGCCTGAGCAGTCTCTTAAACGCAGAAGTCATCACATCCTTCCTTGGCTAAAGCCCCTTCAATGGCTGCTACTGCACTCTGCAAGATAAAGGCAGCCTCAGCTGGAGAAGTGGCAGCAGGGATGGACGGAGGTAGACCAGCGCTATTTTTAGGAGGGTACATCATTTTCAGCAGAGCACATCAGCAGCTCTTAGTGCCTGGGAGCGTGTGAGAGGAAAGTAAGAAGCTGAAGACGGCATCCAGATTTTTGGTTTGAGCAACTAGCATATGTCGGGGGGGCATTCTTAGAGACAGGACAATCTGGGTGGGAGGGGGGAATACACACAGTACAGGGGTGCAGTGGATCCAAGACTTTGATGTAGACATCTTGAATGCTTTCGGAGTGCTTCTGGAATTTCCAAGTGGATACCCAATAAACTGTAAAAATATATGTATGAAACTCAAAAGAGATCTGGGCTGAAGCAATAGATACTAATTATCTATATTACTTATGATAATATATTATTTTTATATAGTAATATTATAATACGGAGATATTAGCATAAGGAAGGTACTTAAAATTCTGGCAATAAATAAAACTCCCAGTGAGTGGGTAGATAAGAAGGGGCTAGAACAAAATCTTGAGGAACTGCAGCATTTAAAGAGACAGGCAAAGGAAGAGAAGCCCATAAAGACAACTGGGAAATAATCAAAAAGATGTGGTGGGTAAGTGGGAGAGTGTGGTGTCCTGGAAAGGAGAGAGCATGTACCAAAAGCTATCCAGGATTTGAATGAGGCTGATTTTTGCCACGAGGAAGAAGGAGGTCATTCACCATCTTGGGAAGAGCTCCTACAGGGGGTTGGAAATCAGATTCCAGTGAGCTGAGCGGTACATGAAGGGTGAGAAAGTAGGGCAACAAGCATAGAAAACACAGCCAACTTCTTCAAAGAGCAGAGCAGAAGTGGGAAAGGAAGAGATGCGTAGTAAGTAGAGAAGGAATGTGGTCAAAGCAAGTCTAATTAAGTTGGAAGAGAAGTGAGCATGTTAAATGCTGATGGTAAAGAGCTGATAACAGGAAGAAGTTGAGACAACTGAGGGGACAGACGACAAGCAAAGTTCCCGAGGAGGAGGGGGGAGGTGGAATTCGGAGCAAAGGAGTAGGGTAGGGATTAAACTCGAACAGAAGGGGATCCCTGTTCCATTCTAGTAGGAGGGAAGAAGAAAATCACGGGTGTTAGATGCAGGTAAATTAGGAGCCTGATCTCAGAGAGCTGAAACAGCTCTCACTTATATAATGGCTTAAATTTTCTTTGTGAAGTAGGAAGAAAAGTCATCTGTCCAGAGTAAGCGGAGAAGGTAGGGTTGGAGGTTCAAGGAGAATGGGGCAACTGAAACTGCCATTTTGGAGAAAGGGAGAGAGTTTCCTAGGGAAACAATCAATGACTGGGTAACAAAGAGGGCCCAAGTGTACTGCGTAATCAAGAATTTATAATAATTCCAATCTACCTCGATTATATGATTTTTCTCAGCAGTACGTTCAAGTCTGAAAAACACTGGCTTAAATCAGTCACACTTAACCTGGCTGTGCATTAGAATTACATGGGGAAACTTAAAAAAAAAAGAAGAAGAAAAGAGAAATGCCTGGGTCCTAACCTAGACCAATTACACCAGAATCTCTGGGGATAGGACCAAAGTATTTTTTTTCCATTCATTAATTCAAGAAATATTTATTAAATGTGTACTATGTGCTAGGCACCAGAAATACAGCAATTTAAAAAAGAAAGAGAGAGAACTTGACTTCACTTATTAAATAAGTTCAGTCAGACAAGATTAATAGATTCCCCAAGATAGATCACAACAATACGATTAAGAGCATAGGTCATATGTCCGAATCAGAATAAAAGAGACAGCAAATAATAAAGATAACACATAATTTTCCTGGGAGCTCCCCGGTGGTCCAGTGGCTAGCGCTCCGCACTGTCAGTGTCTGGGCCCGGGTTCCGTCCCTGGTCCAGTGGCTAGGACACCACGCTGTCAGTGTCTGGGCCCGGGTTCCATCCCTGGTCCAGTGGCTAGGGCTCCCTCCGTGCTGTCAATGTCTGGGCCCGGGTTCCATCCCTGGTCCAGTGGCCAGGGCTCCCTCCGTGCTGTCAATGTCTGGGCCTGGGTTCCATCCCTGTCCAGTGGCTAGGACACCGCGCTGTCACTGTCTGGGGCCCGGGTTCCGTCCCTGGTCCAGTGGCTAGGACACCGCGCTGTCAGTGTCTGGGCCCGGGTTCCATCCCTGGTCCAGTGGCTAGGATACGGTGCTATCACTGTCCAGGGCCCGGGTTCCATCCCTGGTCCAGTGGCTAGGACACCGCGCTGTCAGTGTCTGGGCCCGGGTTCCATCCCCGTCCAGGGGCTAGGACACCGCGCTGTCACTGTCTGGGCCCGGGTTCCATCCCTGTCCAGGGGCTAGGACACCGTGCTGTCACTGTCTGGGCCTGGGTTCCATCCCTGGTCAGGGAACTAATATCCCGCAAGCCGTGTGACGCAGCCCCCAACCCCAGTGCCGCTGCAAAATGAAGAATCTTTCCAAGGCCACAAACCTGACTAACCTCCAGTGAAAAGTCAAAGAAGCAGGATCTCTCTGTGAACCTCAAGGCACAGGAGCACGACACGATAGAAGAGCCCGCCGTCGGGGAGCTCCGATCATGCCTGCCAAGGACCTCTATCTGGATGTCCTCAAATGACGTGTGCAAAACAGAGCACAGCTTCTCTCCTAAGCCCTCTTCTAAGTCCCTATCTCAGTGAATGGCTCTATCAGCCTTGATTCTTCCTTTCCTTCACTTCATTCACCCAACTGGTCATTTCTTAAATCTGACCATTTCTCTGTTTCTATAACCACTTACCAGTCCAGGGAGCTACGATCCTACAAAGGGATTGCTGCAGGAGCACCACACACAGCCTTCCCGTCTCCTTCAGCACAACGGTGTTTCTAAAACATAAACTGATCACGCCACACTGCAACCTGAACCCCTTCCATGGCTTTGCACTGTGTGTAGGATAAATCCAATTCCTTCAGACGGTTCACAAAGCCCTTCGCGACGTGGCCTGCTCTCCTCTCCAGCCCAGTTCCTGTCATCACCCTCCTCTGCTCTCTTCAGTCTTGGTTCCACTGAACACCTCTCAATACCACGAACACACATGCGCTCTTCGCCTTAAAATAAGCTGGTGGTTCCCAAATCTCACCACACTTTGGAATTGACTGGGCTTTTAAAAAACTTCGGATGCCTGGTTTCTCACTCCTGACATTATGATTTAATTGGTATGAGGGTGAGACGTAGGCACAGAGATTTTTAAAAGCTCCCAGAATAATTTTTTTTAAAAAAATTTATTTATTTTATTTTTTTATTTTTGGCTGTGTTGGGTTTTCATTGCTGTGCGCGGGCTTTCTCTAGTTGCGGTGAGTGGGGGCTACTCTTCGCTGCGGTGCACGGGCGTCTCATTGCGGTGGCTTCTCTTGTTGTGGAGCACGGGCTCTAGGTGCGCGGGCTTCAGTAGTTGTGGCACGCGGGCTCAGTAGTTGTGGCTCGCAGGCTCACTAGCTGTAGTGCACGGGCCCAGCTGCTCCGCGGCATGTGGGATCTTCCCAGACCAGGGCTCGAACCCGTGTCCCCTGCATTGGCAGGCGGATTCTTAACCACTGTGCCACCAGGGAAGCCCCTCCCCGAATAATTTTAATGTGCCACGAGGTTTGAAAACCACAGGGAAAAAGTTATTTGCCCTGCTAGAAACACTCTTCTTCACCCACTTCACCTGGAAAACCCCCAAACATCTTTCAGGCCTCATTTATAAAATCACTTCTCTAACTCCCTACACAAAATTAGTTGCTCTTATAACTAATTAATGCCCCTGTACACTGGCCTCCCATTAGCATGTCTTGTATCATATTTCACTGTAATTGCCGGCACAACTGTCATCATTCCCTATTAGACTATACACTTATGAGGTCAAGAACACTGCTCAACTAGCTATTAGGCAGCATGTCTAGCAAAGGGGCTAAGATGCATTATGGGTACAATAAACATTTGATGAATGTGCTGAATATAGCAAAATCTAAAAAGATACATTAAAAATAGCAAAATAAATTCATAGAATCAAGAAGAGAACTTGCTGACAATGAACAAATCTGGCTATGGCTGAAGAGGGAATCACTTACCTGTTTAATGACATAATGAATCTCTTCAGAATTGAGAACACTACATTTAATCTCACTTGGCTTGCAAGGAGTAATTCCCTTGTAGACAAGAGGTGTGTAGCATTTCATGGCAAATTTCAGGTCACTGACATGCCTCCTCTCCTCCAAAACATCTTCAAACTGATCCCACTTTTTGAGTTCCTTCTGTGGATGAGGCAAATGAAAGAAAGTAATGCACATGCTGTAAAACTACGTTGGTAAGGTTTCATCTTAGCCAAAATTTTTATTTTATGACATAGAACAAGAGCAGAGTGTTCTGATGTTAGGTTTTCACATAGCAAGAAAAAGAAATGTAGCTATTGGATTTCCCCGGTGGTTGAGAATCTGCCTGCCAATGCAGGGGACACGGGTTCGATCCCTGGTCTGGGAAGATCTCACATGCCACGGAGCAACTAAGCCCGCGCGCCACAACTACTGAGGCTGCGCTCTAGAGCCCGTGCTCCGCAACAAGAGAAGCCACCGCAATGAGAAGCACGCGCACCGCAACGAAGAGGAGCCTGCCACTCGCCACAACTAGAGAGAGCCCGTGCGCAGCAACAAAGACCCAACGCAGCCAAAAATAAAAATTAAAAGAAAAAGAATAGAATTACCAAAAAGAAAAAGAAATGTAGCTATTATTAGGATCAATGAATTGCTGTTGAATTATAATATTTTATTATCATATTTCTGATTGCTATCTTTATAAAGCCAGTGCCCCTTTATGAAAGTTAACAAACAGAGCAAAGGTGGGACATTAGGCTCTAGAGTAATCTGATCAACTTTACAGATTTCATCAATCGCACCAATAAACTTGTTCTGTCTGCCTCTCTCACTTAGTTTTAAAAATTAAAGAGTACGTCAGAGTCAAGATTATGTCAAATCAAATAAAACGACATGGGTGCAAACTCAAGACCAAAGTGCTCCCATATAAGCTACTATGGTGCAGTCTGTATTTTGCTGTGTTACTTTCTTTTCTCCTTTCAACCGACTGAAATTCAGCTTCTATCCAACCAGCCCCCTAAAACTGCTCGTTATTAGGCTACCAACGACTTCTGAATTCTTAAAAGTTTGCTTTTCTGATGATAAAAGTAATAGTAGTAATAATAAGTACAGCTAACATGCGTCGTTGCTTCCTAAGCGTCAGGCACTGTCCTAAGAACTTTACCTATACGCAGGGGCAATCCTCACAACAAACCTGTGAGGGAGTTATCATCACTACCACGTTTCACAGTGGGGAGACCAGGGCACAGAGAAGTGAAATAACTCAGCCAAGGTCCCACAGCTCTCAGAGGACAGAGACATGATTCAAGCTGAAGCCTTATCGCTTCACAGACTCTGTCCCTAACCACTACCCTATACTACTCAGCATGCTAATTATGGAAGATTTGGAAACGTGGAAACATACAAGCAAAGATAAACTGCCCCCAGTGTTACACCCTGGGAATAACTACTCTTAACACTTACCAGTTCCCTTATTTTTTCCATTCATAGATATAAAAATACATATTTTTTAATTTAAAACATGGACCCTACGAAACATAGTTTATCTTGCCTTATCAACTGTATTCTGAAAACTTCCCTATATTAAATATTGTTTTAAAATATTTTAGTGGCTGCACCGTCACCTTTGTATTCCCTAATTGCTTAATGTAATGTTTTAATTACCAAAGTGATACATGTTCATTATAAAAATTGAGGAGATACAGAAAAGCACAAAGAAGAAAATTAAAATCAACTGTCTCCCAATGAGCCAGAGACCATTTCAGTGAATGCTTTTTTCTGTGCCTGTGAAAAGTCCCTCCCTCACCACACGTACATTTTGATTTGTCTCCTGATTTTCTTTTTACTTAATGTTATAAACACTCCTCCATTTAAGTTTCTCCCATGATATTACTTTTAATGTTGGATGTTTGGACTCTTTTTTTCATTCATTGCTACTATAAAAAGTGTAACAGACATTAATATTTCTTTCAAATCTAATCATTAGACCATGGCCTCTTTCAAGTCTTCGTTCCTCCTAGACCTCCACACCGTGGGACACCGTTCTCAAGCACTCCCTCCTTTCATTACCTACAACTATTCTGAAATGTTCCTACTGTGGTTTTTAATTCATGACTCCGTCACAGCAAAAAGCCCACCTCATTTCTCTAATCCAGAGATTCTCAACCTGGGGGAAATTTTCCTCCCCCAATTACAAATACGTCTTCCTTCCTCCCACTTCCTTTAGTATATGTTAACATCTCCATCCCTCCTTTCTTCACTCCACACAGTGCTGAGTACTCTCACCTGCTCAACTGGTTTCAAATATTTAGGCTTCTGAATCCCTTGCCCTGTCCTCCTCTCGCATCCAGCTTTCCCAAAACTGAACTCATCTCTCCTCTGCACAATCCTACAAGCTGATTACTTTCCTGAAATCTCAATCAATAACCCCACACCATCTACATCCCTGTGTTTACATCATTCTAGACCTTTCCTCCCTCACCCCTTACATGCCATCCGTTCCATCCTGCTAACACGGCCTTTAAGGATCCATCACGTCTACTCCTCGTTCACATGTCCAGCCTGTGCTCTTTATCACGACAGCCTCCTCACTGGTCTCCTTGCCTATGTTTTGTCCCTTTGAATCAGTCTTCCATGCCACCATGTGCCCTTTTTAAAACACAATTCTGGCTTAAAATATTTACATGATACCCCTCACCTCCTTCAGAACAAGACCTAAGCCACTCTGGTGTCATATGAGAACCTCTATGACCTGGCTTTTCCTTCCCACCACACTCATGGTCCACTCAACAGTGAGTGATTTGATTTCCCCAACACAGTCCCTCGTTGATATGCCTTTGGGCCTTTGCACGTGTCCATCTCTGCCTGGAATGCCCTTCTGTTCCTGTCACCCTTGCCTTGGCATCACTCTGCTGGGACAGCTCTCCTTGAGTTCCCTTGATGGAATTACTCTCCCTTCCTCATCAGGACTTCGTTACCTTCTACATACGTCTATTGTGGTATGTGTCCCATAACATGTAATCGTTTGCATGTCTGTCTCCCTACTAAAATGCAATTACCTTGAGGGCAGGACGGTTTGTGTCCTCTTTGTATTTCCATCATCTAGCTGTGTTTGGAATATAGCACAATTGATCAATAACTGATGGACTACATGTTAAGGTAATAAAAAAACCCAGGAAAACTGAGGCCACCATTAGGGCACAACGAGAATACAGATAGAAGCAAAGGACATTTTTAAGGAGCTTAAGTATAAAAGGGTAGCATGTAAAACGTGTGAAATACGCAAACATGAACATTTTTATGCCTACATATATAAGTATAGAGAATATATGAGGAGAAAATATTCGAGCTTGGAATTCTGGTGTAAAACTGCAGTCGCTGTAACATATCGCATACTCCTGCTTATAAGGCTGAAGAACCTCAAATTTCACAGTTCTCATTAATGAAGTAATAGCGTAAGTTACACAGGCTCAGACTTGGTAGAATGCCACAAATTACCATTATAAATGATATAATTTTAGGGACAAAAAAGATTTCAGAGACTTCCCATTTAGCCGTCCTGGGTGTGGGAACAGAAAAGGATCAGAATCAGCTGGGGAGGTGTCTGTGGTGTGGAGGGGGTGCGGGGGGAGAGAAAGAGAGAGCAGAAGGGGAGGAAAGAGGAAAGGGGGAGAGGGGAGGGAGGGCGTCCTCAGAACAAGAACCTGCGAGGCAGAACAGCACGTATGTGACCTCTGAAAACCTCACCAGCTGTGACCATCTGCAATCCTTCCACGGTTCTGTTAACTGCACGATCGAGCCCACACTTCTTAACACACGAGCCAGCTATACAAAGACCTAGCTGCCTCAACAAGCTATGACATCTCACGGCTCCCGCAGCTTCGTTCAAGTCACCTCTAAGAATGGCATTCCTATCAAACACCGGAGCATCTGTTATATGCATGCTATTGTGGTATATGTTGGGGATGTGCCTTGTCTAACCAAGACAGACACAGCCTCTTTTGTCCGTAACCCTGTGCATGGTGGTACCAGTTGTTGAGACAGGGCACTTACAAATGGCCGTTCGCCACCGTTCACCTGGAAGACCCTCGGCCATCAACCACAGCTTCTGTACACCTCCTCTGTGTACCATGTCCAGATTCTCCCTTTAACGCAGGACCAAAACGGTCATCTTCTCCGCTAAGTCTTCAGGGAATCCTCATTACATTTTCATCTAGAATACTTCAATTCTCCCCTACAAGATTGTGAGCTTCCTGTCATGTATCTTACACATTTTTGTATTCCCAGTCCTTCAATCATTGTTTGTGGAATGAAAAAATAAATTACTAAATGAAGCCACTTCTTCAGCCCTGTTGATGACAGCTCTCCAATATTCACAGTCTAAAGCTCAAACTTCTCCCAATCTGGTCTAACTCAATGTCTAATCCAGTGGTTTTTAACCCAGGCTTCACATTAAAATAACTCGGGGAACTTAAAATATTGATGCCCGGGCCCCCCTAAAGATTCTTGATTAATTTGGTCTGGGAGTGGTACCTGGGTTATCAAAAGTACTTTTGAAAGTACTCTAAGTGATTCCTACATGCAGCCAGGGTTGAGCGTTACTGCTCATTAACTGGCATTCCCTACGCCATGCTGGAGAAGTATTTACCATCATAAAATAAATACTCACCCAGGAGCACGATACAATGAGGAGGCCAAGTGAGAAGAATGACGTGAAGGATTTTCCCCCTATCTTACTTTGCAGAGTGGGCCTCTCCTTATTGCTAGTTAAACAGGCCTCTCCTTGTACCTCCCTTTCAACTGCTCTGGTGGATCCATTCATTCAACAGTTACTGACAGCCCCAAACGTACCAGGCACTGTTCTACAGGCTAAGAACACAGCATGAACAAGGTGGACAAGGAACCCTGAGGGAGCTGAAGGAAAGATGGACAACAAATAAACAAGGTAAGTTCACTTAGGGATGCCACCAGTAGCATGCCGGTAATGTGCAACTATGGGAGAGCCCTGATTTATAGCATCTGCCAGTTTCTGGGGTATACACGCTCCCACCGTGGCAGATTTCAAGCTACCAATACGACCTCACTGAATGTGGAGCTGGGAGGAGATGCAAGGAGCCACCGTTCTCTAGGATTTCCACCTTACAGCGTGACAGATGGAAATAACTTCAAGAGCATGGATAACAGGAAAATTTAGTAAAATAATTAGGAAGTGCTGAGTTCTGAGTATTCTTTTTTTTTTTTTTTTTTTTTGCGGTACGCAGGCCTCTCACTGTTGTGGCCTCTCCCGTTGCGGAGCACAGGCTCCGAACGCGCAGGCTCAGCGGCCATGGCTCAGGGGCCCAGCCGCTCCGCGGCACGTGGTATCCTCCCGGACCGGGGCACGAACCCGCGTCCCCTGCATCGGCAGGCGGACTCTCAACCACTGCGCCACCAGGGAAGCCCCTCCTCTTCCTCTTTATCAGTGAAAGGCATCCGCCCAGTTGCCAGATCGCAGAGACGGGAGTCAACTTCAGACTGCGGCCTCTTCCTTAGCTACCACATTCAACTGTCCTGAATACCACACAAACTCACCCGTCTCCCTCCTCCCCAGACTCACGGCCACTGCCTCACTGCAGGCTTTCGTCACCTCCCTGGATTACTGCAACAGCGTCCTAACTGACCTCCACGCTTCAGATTCCTCCGGTATCAGATTCCTTTCTCCAACGAATTCCCTTTCTACAGCCTCTGCTTAAGTATCAATAATAGAGGTTACCCACATAATCATGCCAGAAACCTAGTAGTCTTCTTAGACTTTCAAAAATACAAATCCGATCATCCTTAAATGGTGTCCCATAGAATGAAGATTTTATCCTGAAGGGCGTTTAAACATATAAAATTGCTTTAGGAAATATCCCCTGCCTACTTCCTTAGTTTCGTTTCTCACGTCCCCTTTATTCTACGCTTCCCTATCTTGGTTCCCCCACACGTGCCAAGGAGTGGTCTTCTTACACTGATGCCTACGACAGTCTTCCTCTCCCTCACCTCCCATTCATACCTCAAAATCTCAACTCAGGTGTCACATTCTCTGAGAAGCCTTCTCCAAGTCCCCAGACAGGTCAGGCGCTCCTTCTCAGCCCTCCCACAATATACTGTGTACGCTTCAATCACTGGGCTTATCTCACTTAGCTGCGATTACTCCTTTATTCTCATGACATCCTTTGAGGTCCTTAAAGGCAAGGGCTGGATCTTTAACCTCCATATCTTACACACTGAGAATACTGACTACTGAACACTGTAAGTACCTGCAATCAGCAGTATCTTAAATATCTCCAAGACTAGATTAGAGTATTGCACAATAAGAGTGTGGCCGAGGAATGAAATAAGGACAGTCTGAAACAGTAAGAAAAAGTTCAGGTTAACATGAAAGTTAAAAGACTGCCATCACAAGAGGAGTGAGGGCGGCTGTCCAGCTTCAGAAGCAGTAACGGCTTACATGCAATTAACTGCTTTAGTTTTTCACGTGAAAAAGGTGACCAAAGTCTTATCATTGGTGAATGGGGCAATAAAAAACCAACTCTTTCCTTTAATACACACGTGGAAAATTGCTGTAATTCACAAACCACTTGAGGGCTGAAAAAAACTACCCATGGGAAGTCAGAGCTACACAGCAACCCTCTTTCCCCACGTTTTGAGGTTGAACTATTTCACCACTGCACTGTGCGGTGAGGTCAACGAAGAGAGAGGTCCAAGTGATAAACCTTGGGAAAGTGGGCAATTAGCAGCCATCATAAGCCCAGAGCTCTTGACAGCAAGGGAACAGAAGTTTCCCCATGCTCCACTGGTCTCCCAATTTGAAGGTAGCCATAGGTATATACATTCTTTTCTGAAACTGAACTTTTTGTTTATCTTGCTCTTGTGTTTCCCTGTTATGACCCTCCTACATAAATTAACAGTATATTTAAGCCAGAACACTGGTAACATGACTTTAAAATGCATTCTTTTATTTCCTCCTAAGGTGGATAAAACTTAATTTGGTTTAAAAAAAAAAAAAAAAGTCAATTGCCCCAGGGTTGTGAAATACTGAGAGCTACAAAGCTTCCACCTCGTAATTTCTTCATGACAATTCTGAGTGACCAACATTCCGTCGGCCAAAAAGACCGGTTAAAATCAGAAGAGGCGGTTGGGGGGTGAACTGGAGAGAGGCCGGGGGGCATTAGCTCTCTTCCAAAATGACTTGTGGAAAAAGTACAATGATGGGCAGAGGACAGAAACACAATACAAATTTCCGGAACTCCAAATCTTCTTAGATGAAAAACGTAAAGTCTTAGAAACTCAATGCCCACAGACAAGCCAAATACTTTTTTTCTCGGGAATATCACAGCTGCAAAAGAGCGGGGTGGGGAGCCACGGGCTACATCAAGCTGAGTCAGACCCGCAGGTTCCTCGGGTTCGACCGAAAGGTAGCCCGACACGCCTCGCAAGAGATGGAGAGACTCCAATTCTCCCCGCCTCGTTCCCGTGTCAGGGGCGTTCTGAAGGCCCAATGCCTGGTGGAGGGGAAGGGAAGGAGCGAGCGGGAGGGAACCAGCGGAACCATCACCAGGAGAAACTTCTAAAAGCACACGGACATTCCCACACGCAGCTATACACCGTTGCCCTAGAAACCAAATCAAGCACCTAATCCCTTCTGCGGGGGTGGGGAGGAGGCTCGGACCCACTCTTCTGGGCCCTGGGTCGCGGCCCGGAGGAAGCCGGGACCAGGAGAAGGGGGTCCTCTCCCGCGGCCCCGCCCCGGCCTCGCTCCCCCGGGCGCATACCGAGTAGAGGAGCACGACAGCGCCGGGACTGGTGGAGCCGACGGAGAAGCAAGAGCTAGACGAACTGGAAGAATCCATGCTGCGGCCGCTGTCCCGGGCGTGGCCTGGAATTCTTAGCTAAGCGGTGGTTGGGGTGCTGCTGGGGGCGGTTCTTCCGCGCGGGGCGGCCCGACCTCGCCTAGGGCGGCAGCACCCTCTGCGGCCCCTCCGCAGGACCCCGGGCGTCGCCATCTTAACCAGGACGGAAGCCGCGCGGGGACCTGCAGCGCGCGCGTGCGCAGCATATCGGAACCCGGAAGCGGGCGCCGGGCCTCCGGAGTCCCGCGCGCTTTTCGCTGTCCCGCCACGACCGGACGGGCTCCACGATGGCGCAGGAGCCAGCGCTAGCCGCCTCCGCGCCTCCCGGTTCTCAGGCCCTTCTGGACGTTCTGCTCCAGAACCTCTACGACTTTGGTGAGTACGGGCCTTCGGAGCCCACGTGGAGAGCGGACTTGAGCAGCCCGGAACTGGGCCGGCCTCCGCGGCTAAAGGTTCTTGAACGTCGAGCACCTCTCAGCTCGTCCGACCCGGTTCTGACAGTGGGTCCCCCACTCGCTTCTGTCGGAGATCACCCTCCCCCGCGACCGGAGTCTGTTGAGCGTTTTTTATGAATTAAACCTCCTAGCTCGTCCCTCGGTGGGGACCGGCTTGCGTGTCGGAAGCAACAAGGCTTTCAGACTTACCGGGGAGGTGTTCGCAGGACCTCGGGCTCTCGAAATAGCACCCCTTTTCCCCGAATCGCTTTCCTCCGGGAAGCCCCCTTTCCCCACGCACCCCCCAGACCCGCCTGACTCTCGGGCATTGGTACCATCTTGTCATGTGGGGATCTTATCCTTCAGTGTGTCCCCTGCCAAGGACTTCGGGGGGCGGTTTCACAGGAAGCTCTTCATGACCTGTCATCCCTAAGTTGGCTGACTTATGTTCTCCTTCCTTTATCTTGACTGGGGAAGAGGAAGATAAAAGAGCTTATCGTTAAAGATTGGCAACTCCTGGCACTTCAGTAGGGAGACCGTTACACACACTCTGAAGAATTTGCCCCAGGGAAGATGACATCCTTTGTTCATGCACCAAAGATAATCGTTAGGCATTAGTGCCTTTAAAGGCCAAACGTATTTCTTAAATTTGTAGCGTGATGTTGCTATTTTATTTTGGAGCCATTGCTCAAAATTCTAAGCTCATTACACAGTAAAAATAATAGCTAAAATCATATTGAGAACTTACCATACACTCCATGCTTTACAGGTATATACTCGTTTAATTTTCACAACAATCCTATGAAATAGATGTTGTCATTAATACCATTATTACAAGGCAGATCCCGTTATTGTAGAAACAAGCACTAAAGGTTAAAAAACTTGAAGTTCACCCAGTTAGTAATTTTCAGAACTTGGGTTCCAAGCCCTACACTCTCTGGCTCCAACCCCTGCACTTGTTATCGACTTGAACTGTGGACAGGGCATCTCTGTGCCCTTGGGAATGTCGGAAGACAGAGAAGACTTAGCCTCTGACCTTGAGAAGTCCTAGAGGAAAGGACTATTCTGCAAAATCGTAAATATAGTTCGTGTTAACACAGCCTGGAAATTATGCTTGGAGCTCTGAAGGCATGGGCTGTATCTACTCATTTGTATATGCCTAATGCCAAAGGTTAGTCGACTCTTAATACATATTTACTGAATAAAAGACAGAAAATAGAAGCAAACATAAATAGCTAATGTTTGGAGAGCTCTGTAATAGTCATACTGTCGGTGAGTCGTTAGGCCTAGAGTTCTTGTCAGAACCTTCAGGTGACTGGTCAGAGTTTGAGCAGCTGAAACAAAGGGGAGGTGTGGAGATTTAGTTGAAAATAAAGGCATTCAAATTAAGCCAGTTGTCTTAGGTTCATCTTAATTCATAACCGTGAAAGGAAATAGGAAGACCGTGGTCCCCACCTGTAACCCTAGAAAGTGTTAAAAAGAAACACTGGGGCTTCCCTGGTGGCGCAGTGGTTGAGAGTCCGCCTGCCGACGCAGGGGACACGGGTTTGTGCCCCGGTCTGGGAAGATCCCACATGCCGCGGAGCGGCTGGGCCTGTGAGCCATGGCCGCTGAGCCTGCGCGTCCAGAGCCTGTGCTCCGCAACGGGAGAGGCCACAACAGTGACAGGCCCGCGTACCGCAAAAAAAGAAAAAAGAAACACTGGCTGCAGTGGCAGATGTACTAACATTTTTATTACAAAGTGTGAGCCAACGGGGATTACCAGTTTCTGGGGTATTGCGATGATGACACTTACAGTCAGGACCAAGGTGAGGACTAAAGTAATTGTTCTAGTAAGAGTCAAAGACGTAAATATAGTTACCTGGGAAAAGATGACTGTGCACTTTGGATTCTATAAATTGTGCAAATACGACCCTCTTGGAAGAAAAATAGTTTTTGTCTTTGTGTGTATTTCTGCATGTTTATAGCTGTGGCACATGTACACGTGCATTCGCGTGATTTGGTATTAGTGATAGCTAAAACACAAAATGTTTATTTTTCCTTTTGTGTTTGAACAAACAGGAGAGACGGAAGATGAAGCAGAGCAGAAAAGGATCAGAAAGAAAAGAGAGAAGAAAAGAGATATGGGGACCCCAGGGGCCTTGGTTGCAGAGCCAGATCTCCAACCTGGATCTCTTGTCAGAGGCCAGAGGAAGAGTGCTTCCAGCTTCTTCCAGAAACTCCAGGAAGAGCTGCAGCGTGTTCCCGCCGTGACCCCTAGTGGTTTCCCTTCAGGACCTGTAGTCTCTAGTTCTGCAGTAGCCCCCTCTCCCCTGAGGAACGACAGGGAACCAGTAGAAGTGGTGGAATTTCACAGCAGAAGTAGAAAAAGAAAACAGAAGCCCGATCAAGACGAGAACACAAAGGTAATGAACTGGCTTTTGTAGTGAAAACCCTGATGTTGTCCTGCCACTGTTCTAGGCCCTGGGAACAAGAGGCAAAAACTGCTTTCTCTCAAGGAACTTACATTCTGATGGAAAGCAGTGTGACTTTGCTGAGCAGCAATCTCAGGCTGAATTTGTAAGTCTGACTCAGAATTCAGTCTATGAGAGGCATGGGTGCTTATCCAAACTTTTTTCACAAGTTTTTGTCCAATTCATTGCAAAAATCCAGACGTCACATATCTGTTGCTTTCCCCATGTCCTGTACACTTTTGTCTGTCATAAAAAGAAAGAGGATTGTCTTAGTTTCCTGGGGCTGCTGTACAGAAATGCATTCTTTCACAGTTCTGGAGGCCAGAAGTCCAAATCATGTTGGCTGGGCCACGCTCCCTCTGCTGGGGGAGGGTCCTTCCTTGCTTCTTCCAGCTTCTGGCGGCTGCAGAGCTCTAGGCTCTTCCTCTGTCTTCACATGGACTTCTTCCTGGTGTCTGAGTCTCAACTCTCCTGCCTTTCTCTTAGAAGGACACCCGTCATTGGATTTAGGGCCACCCTAAATCTAGGATGGATCTTATCGTGAGATCCTTAACTTAATTACACTCCAAAGATGCTTTTTCCAAATAAGGTCACATTTGCAGATTCCTGGGGATTAGTGCATGGACATTTCTTTTTGGAGACCACGATTCAACCCACTACAAAGACAGTTAGGCTTGCGTATTCTTGATGAACACGTGCTAGTGACTGGTGTTTACCACATCTTTTCTAGAATTTAGTTAGTACTTTATGTCAAGCTCACCAGCATCTCTTTCTCAAAGATTATTAATGCATTCTGTAACCATATCTACCTTTATTTTAGGATTCTAGGTCAGCTTTCCAGTTCTTATAGTATCCAAATACTGGGGCAACGGGAACTGTTACAGGCAGACCAAGAAATGGATTCCTTTGGCCCTTGCGGCCAGAGCCCCCAAGCCGGCCAGCCAGGGAGCTTCCAAAAAGACTGGTATTACCACAGAGTACCGCAGTGAGCCAAACGTATATTAGTATTTTCTCTGTGTGCCATGATGTGAAGAAGGTTGGAAAGCACTGTTGTGCAATACAATTATGTGTTTGGAGAATTTAACTGACATAAAGCATCTAGGCACCCTCCCTTGTTTCCTCAAAGGTGTCGGTCTTCAGTTTCTTCTTAGACTCACTCGTGTTCATCTTTCTGGAATAGAGAGTTTTCTTTCTAATAGAAAGGACAAAAAAGTTGGCATTGAATGAGTCTGCATCTCCCTGTCTCTTAATAATGGAACATGTGTAGCAGGCTGTTATTCTTCTTTCTGCTCCAAAGAACCCCTTTTCATTGTAGTTGGCTTTTCTCAGGAACCTCAACTCGTTTTACATTTTGGACTTCCTCAACTTGATGAAATTTTTAGCTTCCTTGGTGGTTCTCCCCTTTTCTTTCTTTCTTTCTTTTTTTTTTTTTTAATTGGAGTGTGATTGCTTTACAATGTTGTGTTAGTTTCTGCTGCTCAGCCAAGTGAATCAGCCATACGCATACACACATCCCCTGCCTCTTGGACCTCCTCCCCCCAGCCATCCCACCGCGCTAGGCCATCACAGAGCACCGGTCTGAGCTCCCAGGGCCTTAGAGCAGGTTCCCACTAGCTAGCTATTTTACACGTGGTAGTGTATTTATTGTCAAACCTAATCTCCCAATTCGTCCCACCGTCTCTTTCCCCCCATATGTCCACATGTCCGTTCTCTATGTCTCCCTTTTTATTCCTGCCCTGCAACTAGGCTCATCTGTACCATTTTTCTAGATTCCACATATATGCATTAATATATGGTATTTGTTTTTCTCTTTCTGACTTAACTTCACTCTGTATGACAGACACTAGGTCCACAGACACATCTCTACAAATGACCCAATTTCATTTCTTTTTATGGCTGAGTAATATTCCATTGTATACATGTACCACATCTTCTTTATCCATTCATCTGTCGATGGACACTTAGGTTGTTTCCATGTCCTGGCTGTTGTAAATAGTGCTGCAGTGAACATGGGGGTACATGTGTCTTTTTTTTTTTTTTTTTTGCGGTACGCGGGCCTCTCACTGTTGTGGCCTCTCCCATTGCGGAGCACAGGCTCAGCGGCCATGGCTCACGGGCCCAGCCGTGCCGCGGCATGTGGGATCTTCCGGACCGGGGCACGAACCCTTGTCACCCACATCGGCAGGTGGACTCCCAACCACCGCGCCACCAGGGAAGCCCCTACATGTGTCTTTTTGAATTACGGTTTCTCAGTAGTGGGATTGCTAGGTCATATGCTAGTTCTATTTTTAGTTTCTTAAGGAACCTCTATACTGTTCTCCACAGTGGCTGTATCAATTTACATTCCCAACAGTGCAAGAGGGTTCCCTTTTCTCCACACCCTCTCCAGCATTTGTTGCTTGTATATTTCTTGATGATGGTCCTTCTGACCGGTGTGAGGTGATACCTCATTGTAGTTTTGATTTGCATTTCTCTAATAATTAGGGATGTTGAGCATCTTTTCATGTGCCTCTTGACCATCTGTATGTCTTCTTTGCTGAAATGTTTATTTAGATCTTCCACCCATTTTTTGATTGGGTTCTTTGATATTGAGCTGCATGAGCTGTTTGTATATTTTGGAGATTAATCCTTTGTCTGTTGCTTGATTTGCAAATATTTTCTCCCATTCCATGGGTTGTCTTTTCATCTTGTTTATGGTTTCCTTTGCTGTGCAAAAGCTTTTAAGTTTAATTAGGTCCCATTTGCTTATTTTTGTTTTTATTTTCAGTACTCTAGGAGGTGGGTCATAAAAGATCTTGCTGTGATTTATGTCAAAGAGTGTGTTTCCTATGTTTTCCTCTAAGAGTTTCATAGTGTCCAGTCTTACATTTAGGTCTTTAATCCATTTTGAGTTTATTTTTGTGTATGGTGTTAGGGAGTGTTCTAATTTCATTCTTTTACATGTAGTTGTCCAGTTTTCCCAGCACCATTTATTGAAGAGACTGTCTTGTCTCCATTGTATATCCCTTTGTCATAGATTAGGTGACCATAGGTGCGTGGGTTTATCTCTGGGCCTTCTGTCCTGTACCATTGATCTATATTTCTGTTTTTGTGCCAGTACCATACTGTCTTGATTACTGTAGCTTTGTAGTATAGTCTGAAGTTGGGGAGCTTGATTTTTCCAGCTCTGTTTTTCTTTCTCAACATTGCTTTGGCTGTTGGGGGTCTTTTGTGTTGCCACACAAATTGTATAATTTTTTGTTGTGATTCTGTGAAAAATGCCATTGGTAATTTGATAGGGATTGCATTGAACCTGTAGACTGCTTTGGGTAGTATAGTCATTTTCACAGTCTCAATTCTTCCAATCCAGGGGCATGGTATATCTCTCCATCTATTTGTGTCATCTTTGATTTCTTTCATCATTGTTTTATAGTTTTCTGAGTACAGGTCTTTTGCCTCCTTAGGTAAGTTTATTCTTAGATATTTCATTCTTTTTGTTGTGATGATAAATGGGATTGTTTCCTTAATTTCTCTTTCTCATGTTTCGTTGTTAGTGTATAGGAATGCAAGAGATTTCTGTACATTAATTTTGTATCCTGCAACCTTACGAGATTCATTGATTGTTCTAGTAGTTTTTTGGTGGCATCTTTAGGATTCTCTATGTATAGTATCATGTCATCTTCAAACAGTGACAGTTTTACTTCTTCTTTTCCAATTTGTATTCTTTTTATTTCTTTTTCTTCTCTGATTGCCATGGCTAGGATTTCCAATACCATCTTGAATAATAGTGGCGAGAGTGGACATCCTTGTCTTGTTCCTGATCTTAGAGGAAATGCTTTCAGTTTTTCACCATTGAGAATGATGTTTGCTGTGGGTTTGTCGTATATGGCCTTTATTATGTTGAGGTAGGTTCCCTCTGTCCCCATTTTCTGGAGAGTTTTTTATCATAAATTGGTGTTGAATTTTTTCAAAAGCTTTTTTTGCATCATGGAGATGATCATATGGTTTTTATTCTTCAGTTTGTTATATGCTGTATCACACTGATTGATTTGCGTATATTGAAGAATCCTTCCATCCCTGGGATAAATCCCACTTGATCATGGTGTATGATCCTTTTAATGTGTTGTTGGATTCTGTTTGCTAGTACTTTGTTGAGGATTCTTGCATCTATGTTCATCAGTAATATTGGTCTGTAATTTTCTTTTTTGTGATATCTTTGCCTGGTTTTGGTATCAGGGTGATGGTGGCCTTGTAGAACGAGTTTGGGAATGTTCCTCCCTCTGCAGTTTTTTGGAAGAGATTGAGAAGCATAGGTGTTAACTCTTCTGTAAATGTTTGATACAATTCACCGGTGAAACCATCTGGTCCTGACTTTTGTTTGTTGGAAGATTTTTAATTACAGTTTCAATTTCATTACCTGTTCATTGGTCTGTTTATATTTTCTAATTCTTCCTGGTTCAGTCTTGGAAAGTTGTACCTTCCAAGAATTTGTCCATTTCTTCCAGATCGTCCATTTTATTGGCATAGAGTTGCTTGTAGTAGTCTCTTATGATCCTTTGTAGTTCTGCGGTGTCAGTTGTAATCTCTCCTTTCTCATTTCTAATTTTATTGATTTGAGTCCTCTTCCTTTTTTTTCTTGATGAGTCTGGCTAAAGGTTTATCAATTTTGTTTATCTTCTCAAAGAACCAACTTTTAGTTTCATTGATCTTTGCTATTGTTTTCTTCATTTCTATTTCATTTATTTCTGCTCTGATCTTTATGATTTCTTTCCTTCTACGAACTTTGGGTTTTAGATGTAAGGTTAGATTGTTTATTTGAGATTTTTCTTGTTTCTTGACGTGAGCTTGAATTGCTATAAGCTTCCCTCTTAGAACTGCTTTTGCTGCCTCCCATAGATTTTGGATCGTCGTGTGCTCATTGTCATTTGTTTCTAGGTATTTTTAAATTTCTCCTTTGATTTCTTCTGTGATTT